CACAATACTAAAGAATTTCTTATAGTTGTAATATTGTGATCCAGAACATGTAGGCTTCTCGATTTCCATATGTCTACAATCAAGAGCGCCAATACAGTTAGGAAATTGCCACTTTAGCATATATTCTTCACTTATTTTTTTTCAGCCCTCAGCATTTTGTGTGGGAAGCACAATAGGTTGCAGAGCATGCCATATATCACAACAAACTTCTGGCACTATTTTGCAGACTGTAGATTTACCAATTCTGAATTCCAGATGTTTTGTCCGCATGCTTTCTCCTTAAGCAAGATATCTACATAAAAAAAAATATTAATTAATATCATATAGAAAGTATATGTTTAATTTTTAAAAAGAGTTTATTTATACTTACGTCAATGTTAAGGTCAAACGAAGTCTAGGTGAAAGAGGTTTTCGGATACTACGTTTTATTAAGTATGGACTCACCAAATTAAGTAAGAATTCAAATTGCTCTGGCCACATTCGAGTATATCCGAAAAATTCTTCATGATCATTAACAGTAAGCTCACGAAGTAGGTTCAGGTTAAAACCTTGATCATGTCTGCGCCTATTCACGGGACGTATCCACCACCTCCGACCAATATAATTTATCATCTCAGCTATACGCCTTTGAATAGTCAGAAGCTGACTCCATACCATTACGAACAGCACAGCTCCAATTTTTCGCAAATCCATTACTGTTTTTTCCATTCTCCAATATTTAGCTACTATAAATGTATGGACCAATGCTCGGACATGTACTTAATTCCGTTCTTATTATTTTGAATATTTCTCTAAATATTTCATCGTTCAATGTACATTAAATATAAATATTAAATGTATGTATACCAATATGTATGTATTGTACGTTGAAAGTTGAAATATTCATATTCAAATACAAAAATAATAACAATGTCCGGAGATGGGTACATATCCGGGCATTGATACATTTACCCTATACCGTAATGTTTTCACGTTGTACAAATAGATAACTTTCGTCAATGCTGATTGGCTCATTGTAATTCTTGCTACACGCTATTGTAGACACTCGGGCGTAAGGAAGCCTTAAACCTACAGTCTACGTCTTACAACTACTCTCTTCATCCAGTACTCCTACTGCCATTGTAGAAGACGCTTTATATTACTTAATACTCTTGCATTAAGCTGTCTACGTTATCAATATAGTTTCTAAAGCATGATCTTCACAAAAATCCTAGAGGACTTTTCTTTTTTCTTTCTACATCGTTTGAGATCTTATAATCTCATTTAAACAATTAGATAAATTGTTGATGACTAAAAAATAAAAATAAATAGTTATTGAATTTATTGTTTAAACTACAACAAATCATGTATGGACTATAAAAAGACTATAAAAGTTGCAATAGTATGTTTGGAGGACAATATAAGTGTAAAACATACCTTTCATGTTTTTATTAATAAAGAAATTTTTTAAATTAAATATTACATAATAATTAATAACCTCGTGGCTCTTAATCTTATGCTGGGAGGGAACCATAGATATATAATACCTAGGCCGCGGATTTTCCCATTGTCTGTACGCGACAAACAATATAAAGAAATAGCATTCTTTCGGTAAAAAGTCTGTCTTTTTCTAACGAAGACTGTTTTATTTCCACCATTTATCGTGGTCTTGTAGCAGCAATAAAGCAGGCTTCGTTAGAAAGAAACAGACTTTTTACTGAAAGAATGCTATTTCTTTATTGTTTGACGCGTTCAGACAATGAGAAACGTTGCGAATCCGCAGCTTAGGTATTATACAGTTTGTTTGATAAGAGCGTGTCCGGTAAAACTTTTACATATAAACGGGTAGACGGAAAATTCAAACAGGAGCCGGTAGAGGCATCATTCGCCTAAGATGCTTTGTTAATAAAGCTTTAGTTGTTATTCGATTTTCGTGATAAAAAATATATATTTCGCCATGAGTGCCAAATACACATCGCAATAGCCATTATTTCTTTGTCACATATCCGAAAGGACCAAAAATGTCACGCCAAGCGGCTGCTAAGTACATGAGAAAGTCAAAAACATTTGTAAATAAGTGGGTCACTACTTAGAAGTGAAAAATGTTGATGACTTATCGAAACGTGGCTCTACGCAAGGATTTGGCATTTTGCATATTTTCACAAACCACTTAAATGCTAACAAAATGGTCAAAATTTATAAGAAGGCTTTATTACTATCTGCTCAAAAACATGGATTATAAGGAAAAATGAAAAATGGATACTACAAGAGGACAATGATCCTAAACATCAAAATCGGCTTTGTACCGCGTGGAAATAAGAAAATAATGTCGAATTATTGGATTGGCCGTCACAGTCACCGGATGCAAATCCTATCGAAAACGTTTGGTCCTTGATGAAATTTAAACTTCGTGGAAAGAAAATTTGATCGGTCAAGGAATTAGTACGACAAATTCGATTGATATGGAGATCTTTACTTCAAAAATATGCTATAAAATTAATTGAAAGTATGCCTCGGAGGTGCCAGGCAATTATTAGACGATTGAACAAGTTATTAATAATAAAACATCATAGTTCTAATC